AGGCTGTTCCTTGGAGGAAAGGATTCTGAAGCTTTGTCTAACATAATTTGGGCATGTGACAATGAGGAGCCAGTCCTTCAAAAGTGAGCATCATTCTTGGGAGGGTGGAGGAATAGTGCACTAGAGGAAGACCCTACATGAGATGGATTGACTCAGTGACTGGTGTAGTGGGGGTAGGTGTTTCAGAGACGTTAAGGTTGGCCCAGGATAGAATAAGTTTCAGGGCTGTTGTACATTGGGGTCGCTGTGAGTCACAAGCAGCTTAACCGTACATAACAGCAACAACAAAGATTGGCTTTAGCATAAACAGTTCACAAATTTGGGAAAGCAACCTGTCTGATTGGAATGGAGAATTTGTGTTAAAGCAGTAGTTTTAAACTGTGTGAAGCATTTATATGAGTTCTTTAAAGGTGTCCAAGAAAGACCTCTCAGTTAGAGCAGCACTTTTTCTCATCAGTTTTATATATTGTATATTAGACTGAACATTTTCAAACAACTGAACAGAACAGACAACACTGCATGGTTCAAAATTAGGAAAGGGATGCATCAGGGATGCATCTTGTTTATATGCAGAACCAATCATTCAGGAAGCAGGGCTTTAGGAGGAGGAATGTGTAATCAGGATGAGAGGAAAACTCATCAACAACCTAAATTATGCAGATGACACAATCTTGCTTGCTGAAACTGAGAGGACCTGAAGCACTTACTGCAGAATGTCAAGAACTGTAGTACCCAGTATGGATTCAAGCTCAACATCAAGAAGACAAAGATTCTCACCAATGGACCAATTAGTAGCACCATGATAGGTGGAGAAGAGATTGAGGTTGTCAGCGATTACAGCTTGATTGGCTCCACAATAAACACTCTTGGCTCCAGTAGTCAGGAAATCAAAAGACTAATTGCAGTGGAAAAATCGGTTGTCAGGGAGCTCTCCAGAGTACTGAAAAGCAGTGATGTCAATCTAAAGACTAAGGTGCGCCCAGTGCAGGCTATGGACTTCACATTTACTTGCTGTGCATCAGAGAGCTGGTCAGTGACTAAGGAGAATTGATGCCTTTGATTGTGGTCCTGGAGAAAAGTCTTGAACATACCATGGACTGCCCAGAAAACAAATAGGTCTGTCTTGGAGAGGGTGAAACCAAGTTTCTCCTTGGAGACTAGAATCTTGAAACTAAGTCTCATACTTTGGGCATGTGGCCAGGTGAGACACGACATCGTGGAGAACGACATCATGCTTGGTAAGGTGGAGGGGCAGCGCAGGAGAGGAAGACCCTTGATGAGATGGATTGATGCAGTGACTGGGGCAATAGGGGAAGTTGTGTCGGAATTAGTGAGACTGTATCAAGACAGGGCAGGCTGCATAGCTCTTGTTCACAGGGTTGCTATGGGTCACAGGCAACTTGACAGACATAACAACAACAACATACAAAAAATTTTAAGGGAGCTCTGGTGGGCTAGTGGCAAAAAGCTGTACTGTAATCCCAGAGGTGTGCAGTTAGAATCTACCAGATGCTCTGCTGGAGAAGAAGGGACAATCTTCCTGTACCAGTCAGATCTGATTTGATGGTACACACACAAAAAATAATAAAATAGAGTGTTTTAAAAATTAACCAAAAAAGGTACACTAGGCTATTTGATGGATAGTAATTGAACACAGAAACAGTTGGGATTTAATCTAAAAACTAATTTTTTATTTTGGTGATTTGAAAAATAATTTCCTATTTAAGCAAGTATATGGCAAATTGAAATTAAGTCTTTAGAAGATTAATCACTAAAGATGGTTACAGCATAGATTGGAATGAGAGACTAAATGTCATAATCTGAGAATGAATATGAGGATCTTGATCAAGCATCAAACCGAGATGGGATCCAGTAGAGTATAGCAGCATGGTTACTTTTTAAAGTACTTCATGATGTTTACCATGTACTGTACGTAGCCTTGTTAGTACAGTGTTTAAAAGCTTGACTGCTAATTGTAAAGTAGATGGTTCAAACCTACAAGCCACTTTAGCATTCTGCTAAAGATTACAATTATCAGAACTTAGTGAAGCAGTTCTGTTTTTCCTGTAAAGTCGTTAGGAGTCAGAATCAGCTTGACAGCACAAAACTACATGAATTTTTTTATCTAATTTTACAACATGCTTATGATGTGATTGTTAATATTAAACCCTTTTATAGGTGAGAGAACTATACATGCCGGAATTAAGTATAAAATGTTGTATAAGTCATCTCTTTATATGGAGCCACTTTTAAACATAATCTTGAATTTTGGTAGTAAGACTGTCTTAGTAGAAATCCTATGGTACATATCAGGCTAGTGTTGTAACAAGTGAGATGAAAATATGTTGTCATAGAAAAATTATAATTTAAGTCAAAGAATAGGTAAACTCTCATGGAGTAGAAGGACACATATCTGAGGATGGAAATTTGAAAGATGCCTTTTTTTTTTTTTTTTTGAAAGATGCCTTTAAGGAAAAAGAAATTTCTAACAAGCATAAAATAGAGTTGAAAATGTAGAATATTTTGCTTCATCCTTATCATTAAAGTAGAACTCCCTTTGAGGAGGTAGCTCTTTCCCAATTGCATTTTGAGAACTTTGTAACCAGAAAGGCTCCTCTTCTGACACTAGGTCCAACAGTATTCTTGTTATTCATAGCGTTTTTGAGGATCTGGTATTTCAGAAGTGGATGGCCAGTTTAGAAGTTCCACTGATACCTATTCACTATAATGATTGACCCTGTCAGTATTTGAAACACCAGTGGAATAACTTCCAGTATCACAGCAACATGCAAGCCTCCACACTAAGACAAACTGACAGACGAGTGATAATAATAGGCAATAGCAGTTTGTTAGTATTTTTATAAGTTGCTATAAAGAGGCATAAAATTTATACTTTTTTTAAAAAAATGAAATTGTTTAATAATCACAGAATGGAAATCTATAATAAAGCTAGTTTCCATAGTGGTTTTTACCCTTTACTTAAGGTTAAGAAAGCATTAAATGGTTCCTTTTTGAGCCAAATTTCTCCTCTGGTAGAAAAGTATATGCCAGAAATATGATAGTAGTTTAGAATTTAAACATTACTTCTGTCAAAAAGAAGTACCTTAATGATAAATAAATAAAATAATGCTAATGGATTAATCTGTCTTGGAGAGTATGAAACCAAGTTTCTCCTTGGAGGCTAGGGTTTTGAAGCTCCATCTCACAAACTTTGTGCATGTGACCAAAAGAGAACAGTCCTTAGAGAAGGATATCATGCTTGGAAGGGTGGAGGGACAGCACAGAAGAGGAAGGAAGGCCCATATGAGCTGGGTTGATAGAGTGACTGGAACAATGGGTTTTGTGTGTCAAAATTACTGATACTGGCTCAGGGCAGGGCAGGGTTCAAAGCTGCTTTACATAGGGTCACTGTGGGTCACAGGCAACTTAAGGGCACAAAACAACAACAACATCCATGGATTAAAAAAGTTGTTTCAGGAAATCCGGAGGCTGGCCTCTATGAGGTGGAGTGTGCATCAGGACTGGAGGAAGACTATGTTATGCAGATGATACAACTTTGCTTACCAAAACTGAGGAGAACCTGCAACATTTGCAGCAGAAGGTCAAGGACTGCAGCCTTCAATATGGATTGAAGCTTAATATCAAGAAAATAAAGATTTTCACCACTAGGCCATTTGGCAGCATCATGATAGAAGGTGAAGAGATTGACATTTTTAACAGCTTCAGTGTGCTTGGCTCCACAAGGAACACTTGGTTCAGCCAGGAAACCAGGAAATCAAAAGACAAATTGCATTGGGAAAATCTGCTGTCAGGAGCCTCTCCATAGCACTGAAAAGCCATGTCAGTCTAGAGACTAAGGTATGCCTGATCCAGGCCATGGTCTTCACAGTTACTGGCTGTGCATCAGGTAGCTGAACAATAACTAAGGAGAATAAAAGAAGAATGGTTGCCTTTGACTTGTGTTGATGGAGAAGAATATTGGATATACCATGGACTACCAAAAGAACAAATACGTCTGTCCTGGAGAGGTTAAAACCAGTCTGTTCTGTGGAAGCAAGCATTTTAAAGCTCCATCTGACACACTTTGGGCATGTTGTAAGGAGGGACCAGTCTTTGGAGAGGGACAGTGTACCAGAGATGATGAAATTGGCTCAGGATAGAGCAGGGTTCAGAGCTTTAGTACATGGGGGTTGCTATGAGTCAGAGTCATCTCAATGGCCAGTAACAGCCATTGATTAAAGAAGCTTTAAAACCTTAGTAGAATGCAGAAAAGACTTTGTAGAAAGATCAGAGCCGTGGAAACTCTACGTATCATTCGACTCTTGAATGGTCACTCTAAGTTTGAATTGACACACAGCGGTCGGTTTGGGTTTTTGGCTTCTTTGTTTTTGGAATTGGGGAAATTGAAATGAATGTTCAGGCACAGATCCATTGGAGTGAATGAATATGACTAGGAAAAAACCTATTGCTGTTAGTTGACTCTGACCCATGGCACTTTCATGTTTGTCAGAGTACTGTTGTGCTCTCTAAATGTTTTCATAAGTAGATTGTCAAGCTTTTCAGTCAAGATACCTGTAGGTGGTCTTGAACCAATAGCCTTCCAGTTAACACTATCCAGATACTCAAGAAATGGTAGATTTGAGAACTCCTGGAGAGAAAAATATGCTCTACATGCTTATTAATCTATTTAAAACTTTGGGCTTTCAGAGTTAGGTAATGTCTCACAAATAAGTTAGACAAATATGAAGACTAAAGGGCAGCATAATTCGTAATTTAAGAACCATACCTTTCACAAATGAGAGCAAATACAATTTTAAATAATAAATAGTATTCAGTTCCATAGTATGTTTATTGAACATACCTTGATAACCACTGCAGATACAAAGATGACTGAGATCTTGTATTTATAGTATGTCTTGACTCAGTTAAATATTTTAAAAAAAAGGCTGATTGATTTTATTTTCCTATACTAATGTTCTTAAACAATGTATTTTATTTAGTGGTAGAAGATGATGAAGATGACTTTCCAACAACACGTTCTGATGGAGATTTCTTGCATAATACTAATGGCAATAAGGAGAAGAGTAAGTAATATATTTTCCCCCTCACTTGGATGACATACTTTCTAAAGTTGGATAATTATCCACTGTATTTCCAATAATAATTACCTAATCAGTAGATTGATTTTATATTTCCATGAAAGTTTACAAATTATATTGGTTCCTTCCCTAGATTTTACAGTTCTATGTAAGAGAGAGATCTTTTATTTATTATCAGATTATGCTGTTATTAAATATCATGATTAATTTATTTTACAATGATTAGTACAAAACTAATTCTTATAAGACAGACCTTAACTATATTCCATATTTCATAACTACCACTCTATCATCTCTGACAATAATTATTCCTCCACTCCTGACTATGTCTTTGGGTTCTGTGATTCGCTGGCTGGTCTCACAGACACTCAAAAAACCATCAAGAAAATAGCTCACCAGTTTGTGGATGATGTAGGCTCTTTTACATGATCACCTGGATTATGCAGACAGTATAACCTTACTTGTAGAAAGTGAAGAAGACTTGAAGCACTTAATGAAGAAGATTAGAAGATTAGCCTTCAATGTGCATGACATCTGATCATCAGTAAAACAAAATGCTCACAACTGGACCATACTTAGAGATGGAAAATTTCATCAGTAATTTCATTGTGCTTGGATCCACAGTTGACACCTGTGATAGCAGTAGACAAGAAGTCAGAAGATGTTTTGCATTGGGGAAATCTGTTATGGACTCGACTGTTTGAAAACTAAGGTGCAAGTGACCCAGCCATGGCATTTTCAGTTATTTTATATACATACTTAAGTTGAACGATGACTAAGGAAGATTGAGGAACAATTGATGTCTTGAATTAAGGTTTTGACGAAGAGTATTGAATATGCCAAAAGAACAACCAAATGAGTCTTGGAAATATAGCCAAGATACCCCTTAGAGGCAAAGGTAATGAAACTTAACCTCACATATTTTGAGCATGTTGTTCAGGGCGCCAGTCTTTAAAAAAAGAGCTCGTGTTGGGGAATGTGGAAGATCAGCAAAAAGCGAAGAAGGCCCCCCAGCAAGATGGACTGACACAGTGATTGCAACAGTGGGTTTGAGTATGACAAAGATCCTGAGGATAGTACAAAATATGGCTTGGTTTTGATCTGTTGTTCTAGGGTTGCTGTGAATTCTTGTCAACTCAATGATACTTAATATAAATTAAGGTATCTAGTCTCTACGAATTACTATTTTTTTCTCTTTTCCACCTTTAGAAAATACATACTCATCCAAAATTATCAGATACTTTTGAGAATTTGCTGGAGTTTTTCTATAAAGATTCAAAATGGCTCCACAATTTAAGGTACAAGAAGCTTGAAACAAAAATATCACAGTAACCACAAGTTAGTCATCTAGTAGATGACATATTAAGATGAGACTTTGTCTTTTTTTAAAAAAACTTATTATTAATTTCAAAGAAAATTTACAGAGACTTTGGATTTCCATTCATTCATTGTTGTACTTTTCTCCCCTCCCAACCCCCCCCCCCACACACACACACACTACCGTCTTGGAAAAGTAAAAGAAAAATTCTTTCATTGTTTTACAAACCCTCCCCCCAGGTCCACTCGATGATGCAGCCTTCACTCTAGACTCCTGTCATGACAAAAATACCTTTTAAACCGTTTTCTCCCTCATCTGTTTCAATGCAATAAAAATTATTGAACCCATCTTTCTCAGTCTCTCCCCAACCCCAAGGTCAGTCTTGTTTTACAACAGTGGCACCTTGTGGTATTTGTCCTTTTGTGACTGAGATACTTCATTCAGCATAATATCCTCCAGGTTCACTCACTTTAAATAATATTGTATGAGTTCCTTGTTTTTCAATGCAGCATAGTATTCCATTGTGTGAATATACCACAGCTTCTCTATCCATTCATTTGTTGATGGGCACTAAGATTGTTTCCAACTCCTTGCTATTGTGAACAAAGCTGTGATAAACATGGGTGTGCAGAGACTTTGTCTTTATGACATTCATTTCCTAACAGATAAAACATGAGAGATATTTATGTCACAGGAAATGCTATGGGAGCCTTTCATTTTGAAGTGTTTGAAAGCATAGCAATTTGTTATTCATTATTGTTCAACAAAGCAGCTTGTGTCATAATATTTTAAGTGTTGAACTACAAACCAAAAGGTTAGCAGTTCAGATCCAACAGTTAAGATACTCCAATGGAAAAAGGTTTCTGTGCCAACCTCATAAATATTTACAGCTTTGGGACACCTGAAGGAGGAGTCATTATAGGTAGGAACTGATTCTGGCAGTGGGTGCCTGACTATTCTAAAGGGATTTCAGGTAACTGGTTCTGAAAGTATCAAGTGTTTTTCCACAAATATTTCATGTTGCTCTTCCATCTTGTTCTTTGTTGTCCATAAGGTTTTTGAGGGCCTGTTAATTTCAGAAGACCAGTCCTACTTACTGCTTAGGTCTGCTGAAATCTGTCCCACATAGGTGAACCTGCTGGTATTTGAAATACCAGTGGCATAGCTTCCAGCATCACAGCAATATAGGAGCCACCACAGTACAGCTAAAAGATGAGCTGTTCTTCCATCTTACGGTAACCCAACAGAATGTGGAAATTATTACACACTATCAGTAGTCAAGTAAATAAAAATCTTGCTGAAGACTATTAAAAAATAGCGGGAACAGCACATTAGCAGGGAACTGCCAGAATTTCAAGCTGGATTCAAGAGTTCAGGGCACAAGATCTCTTATTGCTGTCAATGAATCTTGGCTAAAAGCAAATACCGGAAAGATGTTTATCTGTGTTTTTATTGAACATGTAAAAATGTGTGGATCATGACAAACTGCTTTTAACATTGAAAAGGATGGGAATCTCGGAACAGTTCATTGTGCTCATACAAAATCCAGACATAGACCAAAAAGCAGTTTTCCAAATAGAACAAGGGAGCACTACATGGTTTAAAATCAGGAGAAGTGTGTCAGAGCTGTATCCTTTCTCCATATCTATTTAATTTGTAAGCTGAATAAATCATTCAAGAAGCTGGACTAAAGGAAAATACGGCATCAGGTTAGGAATAAGACTCAGTAACCTGCATCATGCAGATGACATAACCTTTCTTAATAAAAATGAAGACTACCTGAAGCACTTTCTACAGAAGATCTACAATCTTCAATATGGGTGATCAAGAAAATAAAAATCCTCATAATAGGATCAGTAAGCAACATCGTGATAGATGGAAGAAAAAACACAAAGTTGTCAGTGATTTCATTTTACTTGAATCCACAATCAACACCCACGGAAGCAGCAGTCAAGAAATCAAAGACATGTTGTATTTGGGAAATCTGTTGTCAGAGACCTCCCCAGTGTTCTGAAGAGCAAGGCTGTGTTTTTAAAGACTAAGGTGCACATAATCTCATAATTCAAGCAAGGGTTGTTTTGTTTTTGTTTTTTTTTTTTTTTGGTTACTTCCTGTGTATCTGAAAGTTGGACATGAGTAAAGAAGACCAAACAAGAATTGGTGCCTTTGAGTTGTAGTATTGACGAACGGGGTATGCCTTGGACTGCCAGAGGCAGAAAGAAATCTGTCTTGAAGAAGTGCTACCAGAGTGCTCCTGTAAAAAGAGCAGCGTCTGTAAGGGAAACATGATGAAGGCAGAGTCTGACTTCCACAAAGAAGTGTCCTCATGAGTAACATCCAGTATGTAAAACCGATCCTGTGGTAAGACGTGGTAATGTCCCACACTGATACACCTACTTCTAATTACAGGATCTGATATTGGTTGCAAAAACTTTGGGGTTTATTAAGGAAGTGGTTGGGGGATGGTAGGAGAAGTCAAAAGATATCACACAGTTTTCTGGTTTCCTCATTTGTCCCACAAGCCTTATCTCAAGGCAGTCCCAAATCAGCTCTTTTGACCTCACAGCTGTTAATGATATAGGAGATACTAAATCAACGATGAAATCATGTGTCTGCAGATGAGACAGCTGGAGAACACAGCCCTAGGGAGGGGGGCCTAAGGCAATGGCCAGCAAAGCCATTTTCAAAAGACCTTCTAACAACACAGCTTCTTAGAAGGAAGGAGGATAAAGTTTCATCTTACTTATTATGAGGATATTCTCAGGAGGAGCCAATCCTTTGAGAAAGACATCATATCCTGTTGGGAAAGGTAGAGGGTCAGAAAAGAGAAGTCTCTCAATAAGATTGACACAATGACTACAATAGGCTTGAGTATGACAGTTTGTGAAGATGGTGCAGGATATAGGGCAAAGTTCAGATTTGTTGTTCATAGAGTTGCTAGTCTGCTCAACAGCAACAAGTTCTGTCTTGTACTGACTCCTGAGTATATAAACTTGCAAATATTTATCAGTTACAGTCCCATTACTGCACACATTCTCTTTTATAAAGAGGACTTTTTCTAAATTGATTGCTGATAAAAACAGTAGTTTGTAATGAAACCACTGTCTTGGCAATAATAATAGAAAAGTAGAAGTTAAAATTATAGGAAGACTTTTTAGTCATACAAAGAAAATATATTTTTAGAACTATTTTATTGCAGTATAATTCATGTCAGACTGCACATATTTAAAATGTACAATTTGAAACTACAACCAAAATCAAGTGAATGATAATATCTATCACCCTCAAAAGTTAGTTTCCTGGAATGTGTTTATAAGCCCTCCCTCTTTCTTACCCCTCCCCTCCTTGCCAGGCATCCATTTTTTGGGATTTTTCCTGTCATCATTGATTAGTTTATGTTTGTTTAGAATGTCATCTAAGTGAAATCATAAAATATGTAGGAGTTTTTTGCCTAGCTCTGTCTTTTTAGTTTGAGATTCATGTGACGTCCATTTTCCTTTTGAGCAGACTCAAACCTTCAACCTTTCACTTAGTAACCCACCACAAATACACTACCACCAACAGGCTGATAACTGATGTTTCATTAGTTAAATCCACCAGTCATTTCAGGGAAGAGGAGGGGCAGCCTGCTGCCAGAAAAATTATATCCTTTGGAAACCTATTAGCGAGTACTGTGAGCTAGAATCAACTCAACAGCAGTGGATTATAATACACTCTGTTGTTGTTGTTGTTGTTGTTGTTGTTATGTGCCGTCAAGTTGCCTGCAACTCATAGTGACCCTTTGTACAACAGCCCTAAACCCTGCTTTATCCTCTGCCAATCTCACTGTCTCTGACACACCTACCCCCACTACCCCAATTACTGAATCGACCCGTCTCATCAAGGGTCTTCTCTCTTGCACTGTCACTCCACCCTCCCAAGCATGATGTCCTCTCCAAGGACTGGTCCCTCCTTACAGCATACCCAAAGTATGTCAGACAAAGCTTCAGAATCTTTGCCTCCAAGGAGCAGCCTGAGTTCACCTCACTATGACGAACCTGTGCGTTTTCTTAGCAGTCCGTGGTATATTCAGTACTCTTCTCCAGCACCACAGCTAAAAGGCATCAATTCTCCTATCATCCCTAGTCATTGCCTCACATTTAATCTTAAGCTTAAACTTGGAAATAATTTAAAAATGTTGTTACCTTATTCAGTTCTATTCTTTAGCTTCAGCTTTTTTATGAGGTTCTTTTTTATTATTATTTCTTGTGTGTGTACCGTTGAATCATATCCATCTAGTACAGGAGGAGATTGCGCTTCCTCCAGAGGATCATCTGGTGGATTCAAACCGCATGTCTTTGGGATTGCAGCGCAGCTTCCTGCCACTAGGACACCAGAACGCTCTTCAGCTTTTTGGGGGAAAAAAATCTCTTGTTATTGCCATAATAAAAGGCGTTATTATCATTAAAGTATACACTTCCTACCACTTGATTTCACTGGGTGCATTGCAGCAAATCAGTTTCGGGAAATAGATCTAGATAAAAGGACTTAAAGGTAATGTACTGCCCCAGCTTCTTTGCTTGCTGAAAGCCTTGATGGGACTCTAAAATGATTGTCCACAGGACATAGCCTATAACCTTGCTACTGTTCAAAATATTTTCTAATCTTAAATTCTGGTGAGAAATTATTTTTCATTGGAAAATATTTTCAGTAAATAACTTTCTTTTTCAGTATTTCCTCATGTAACACCCAAAGGGATTAATGGTATAGACTTCAAAGGGGAGGCAATAACATTTAAAGCAACTACTGCTGGAATCCTTGCTACACTTTCTCATTGTATTGAACTAATGGTGAAACGTGAGGAAAGCTGGCAAAAGAGATTGGATAAGGTAAGAACAATTTTGAGATTTTTTTCCCCTATTTCTCACATGTTTTAAGTTGATTTAAACCAACTTAATTTCTTAAGGGAAGGATAGATTAAGTTGAAGAAAATAGGAAATGGTATTACCCCCGCAATTCTGAACTTCATAGGCTCCTTTTCCTGATGAGATTGATCTTATGGGGTGTACTCTACTCGATGGTACCTGACAACAACAACATAAAATTTTTATCAACTTTCTTGATAGAAATTTATTATGATGCATAATTTTGTAATCCTTTGAAATAAAAATCTTAGTGTGTACCGTATGAAACTGTGTTTAAGTTGTATGGACTAACTCATACACCAGTTTATTAAGTTAAATATTCATAGGCATATTTTTCAGAGGTCATGTGATATAATTTTACATACATTATATTCTTCTATCGTTTGTGTTTGTATTTTTCCACTTTTACCTGAATTGCTACACTTAGAAAAGTATTAGCTGGAACCTGTAATGTCTAGTGTGTATTATATGAATTTCTTTTTGTTCTTAATTCCATTTCTGTAAGATTGTTAGAACTAAAAAGTACCTTAGAGATCTAGTTCTATTCCAGCCTCATCATTTTATAAAAAAGGGAACTGAGATCTAGAACCTGATGTAAAGGTTCTCAAGTTAATGCTGTCACTAAGGAGATAAGGAGAGGAGAGTGTCCAAATTATACCCCTTGACACTATCAAGAGGCTAGAACACCAGAATAACCTTAGGCATCTGCAGATACTAGAGCAGGCTGGAACTGTCGAGGAAGGGCCATGAAAGGCAATTGTTTCTCTTCCCTTACTTCTTGACTAAGGAAAATGCCAAGGGGCAGAATGAACTACTCAAGACTTTCCTTAATCACAAGGTAAGGGGAGAGGAAGTCATGATTGAGTGTCCTCCCTACTAGTGACTAGTTTATCCTTATCACTTTTGTTGACAAGTTTTTCATTACATAAGCAGTAAAATGACTGGAGTAATAAGGGTAGGTGTATTAGAGACAGTAAATTTGGCCCAGAATATAGCAGGGTTCAAGACTGCACATAACAATAACAAGAGCAGTAAAATATGTTATCTTATTTGCTGATATTTTCTGTTCCCATGACTATAGATTTAGCAAAAAGTAGCTTTATCAGGATAATCAAGGTTTTACACATCCCAGAGCAGAGCATGCCCTGATTAACTTTTTTTTTTTGGGGGGGGGGGCGGAGGGTTAAGAAAATACTTTCCTTTAATACAGTATTTTTCTGAGCATAAACTTACAAAGGACTTAGTATATTAGTACATTTCCACCCACCCACCCCACCCCCCAGGGAGCATATTGTTAGCTCACTAGTTCTTTTCAATCATGAAAGAAAGTTAATTTCAATATACTGGTGTGCTTAAATTCCACATTGAGTTTCTGAATGTTGTATTTGTGACTCTTTTTGGACTATCGTTCTTTCAAGTACCAATTTTTTTGTGAATAGTTGACATCATCTGCTTTTTGGAATAGCATTAAGGATTGTCATTTTAAATTGCTGTAGAAAATTAAAGATAAGAAATAGAATAAAATGTGTGATACAAAAAGCATCTTTTCCCCATTTAAAAACCTTTGAGTAAAAAAAAAAAAAGCCTTTGAGTCCAAACCAACTCACAGCTGACCCTCCAGTGGATTTCTAGGAACTATAAATCTCCTGGGAAGAGATGGCCCATCTTTGTCCTGCAAAGCAGCAGGTGGACTCGAACTACCTGCCTTTGGTACCAACTCGGCCACCAGTCCCCCATTCAGAAGTAGTATGCCTTCCCCTTAAATGATTAGTTCAAGTTATGTTAGACTCCTGACAAAATGCTCATAGAGTTACTGTATTGGAAAAATGTTTCCTATGGTGCATTACTCATGTTTTTCTTTTTCATTTCAGAGATAATTGCTTAAGTATAAAAGAGGGCACTTTTACTAACAGTTTTGTCATAGCGCAGTATTATTTTCATGGAAGTAACTGAGATTCTGTTACTTCTAATTTGCAACTTGACCTCATTTTTTGCTGTTACAGAAAGTACCCAAGTCTGTTTTACCAATTTTCCTTAGATAATAGTTTATAACTAACAAAGTACTAAAGAGGAGTTGTGTCACTCTGGAGACTAAGGTGCATCTGATATAGGCTATGGTCTTTGCAATCACTTGTTATGCATCAGAGAGTTGGACAGTGACTAAGGAGGATAGAAGGAGAATTGATGCCTATGAGCTGTGGTGCTGGAGAAGAGTATTGAATATAGCATGGCTACCAAGAAAACAAACACATTCATCCTTGAGAGAGTTAAACCAGGCTGCTCCTTGGAGACAAGGATTCTGAGGATTCGTCTGACATACTTTGGACATGTTTAAGGAGGGACAGGTCCTTGGAAAGGGACATCATGCTTGGGAGGGTGGAAGGACGACGCAGGAGTGGAAGACCCTCTATAAGGTGGATTGATTCAGTGACTGGGGTAATTGATATGGGTGTGTCAGAGGCAGTGCGATTGGCACAGGATAGAGCAGGGTTTAGGGCTGTTGTACATAGGGTCGCTGTGAGTCGCAAGCGACTCGACAGCACATAACACCAACAACAATAGTTTCTGTAAAATCAGGACATAAAAATAAATTATCTTTTTGTACACATAAAAAGCATCTTACACATAGCAAAGAATTTTGTGATAAAAAAATTCCCCTCTTGCATAATCATATTAGCCTTTAAAGACAAGGGAAAGTAGGAGAAAATTGAGGCAGATAAATAAGACTTATGATATAATTTCCTATGTTCAGTCATAACTGTGAAGCTGCTCTTGGACTAAAGATTACAGGGAACTGTTTCTGCTTTTGAGTGGAATCAAAAGGAAAGTAAGAGAAAATTGTGGCACAGAAGTAGGAGGATTTCTGATCTGTTTTTCTCTGTCCAGTCATGATTCCAGAACTGCTCTGGAACTAGATTACATTGTTTTAATCCAGGCAGCTCCACCCTTGGTCAGTTTAACCGCTACAGGTAGTAGTATCACTAACTTTGATGTCACCCATAACCCAGGTTAGTAATGTCACCGCCCTTCCACCACCTTTCCTTGTCCCTCATGGCAGAGCAGAGAGTTGACCATAGCGGGTGAGAAAGGGAGAAATTTTAGGGCACTGAGGGGATTGAAAAGAGGGGAGGTGACACTATTGAGTTGCTGCATTCAATCACATGGCCCTAGTGATGCCACTAGTCCAAACAGCAAAATTAGAGACATTTTACTCATGATATTTCAGCTCCGCATATTAGTCCAGATATCAATTTCAATTGTATTATTCATCAGTAGATTGCTTAGAGTGTTTGATGGTCTTGTTGATTTGCTCAGGACACTACCTGAAAGCAATAAACTCATTGATGTAATTGATGTAAAGAGAACTATTTGAAACTTTTATGTCCAGATGAGACTAAGCCATGTTGACTTTCTGTATACTTAAAAATAGGCAGTGGAAATTTCCATTTATGGTATATAGTCTTTTCACTATTATTCTGGAGCTGAACTATTATATCTTCAAAATTTCCATTCTATTCAGTATGTATCAAGGTGAACTTTTTTATAATTCCTATGGACACAACAAATGTTTTGAGAGAACAGAACAGCCTCTAAAAACCATTGAATTAATGACTCAACAGGTTTATTCAATTTGTCCAAACATGCTTATATTTTAAATGTTTTGGCAACTTTCTCTTAAGATCTAGTCTTTTAATGTATTTGTCTTTTAAAACTAACTATTGTTGTTGTTGTTGTTGTTGGTTACCTTCGAGTTGAGCACGACTTGTAACTACCCTATGAACAAAAGGCCTGAAGCCTTTCTATAACTATCAACATTTCTCAAAGATCATAGGGTTTCCGGAGGCATGTTGTTTAGGAGTGGATGCCGTAGTGTTTCTCAGAGTATTGATTGGGACAAGGAGAGCGTTTTATACAGGTGACTTCCCTTTCTTTCCATCAGTCAAGTGGCTAATTTAGCATGTGAAATGGACATAGACTTTTGATTACATTCATTGTTGTCTGTTTTATCACTTTATTGAGGCACTATAAGTAGAGCAAACCAAAGGACCTGTCAGAAAACTACTTTTGCTGCTTATCTTAACCAAAGAAGAGCTACAAAGATGCCACTATGAATTGAAATCTCTTTTGTAGTGTCTTACAGATCTGTCTGGTGTCAAATTCTGTTTATCTTTTTCACTATCATTTTCATTTTTTTTATCAAAGTTGGAATTACGTAGTATATAAACTAGAGAAACAGATTTTCCTGTTTTTGTTTGTTGTTTAGTATCATTGATTGGAATCAACCCATATGACCCTCCAGCAGTTTTTCAGAGATAGTTAATCGCACAGGAGGAGATTGCCCATTTTTCTCCCACAGAGCCACTAGTGGATTTGAACCACGTGCCTTTGGGATTGCAGGGCACTTTCTTACTATTGGACTACCAAAGCTCCCTCACTTCCTAGACAGAATAATTTTTCATACTAGTCAAGTTGTTGTTTGGTTCACCTTGAAACATTTAAGACTTAATTAAAATACTAACTTCAGATGATATAATATCACTTGATTTTTATTAAATAGGAAGTTGAGAAGAGGAGAAGATCAGAAGAATCTTGCCAAAATGCTATGACTGAACTTAAGAAAAAGTCCCACTTTGGAGGACCAGACTATGAGGTATGAGTTTTATTTTTTTGCTACTAATAAGAGAAGGGCATATGTAATAGTTGTCACAGAAGTGACTAAATTTCAAGTTATGTTGTAGCTCTTAAATATTCTATCATTATGTACATATATATGTATGTGTACAGCAGTTGCTATTGACTTGATTCAAAATTCAAGACAACTCTTATGTGTTAGAGTAGAATGGGGTTATAGGGTCTGAATTTTCACAAGTAGGTAGCCTAGATTTTCTTCTGAGGTGCCTTTTAGTCAAAGAAAATTTCAAATATTTGACTAGCAGACAATGTTTCTGTTCCCTTTTTCTACTCCTTTCCTCTCTCTCTCTCTGCATATGTGTGTGTGTTTCATGAGATAGATAGATATATCTCAAAGAGCTTTTTTTAAACTATGCTTATTCTGAAGGAGATTTTGGTTTATTTCATTTCCTAGAGATTTTAGTGTGTAAGCATGAAAAGGCTCACTGTATAAGCAAAGTTTTGTTCACTTCTGGCATCCACTTCCCAACCAATGTGCCTCTGGAAACTCTGAATATTAAGAAACAACGATAGCTATAGAAAGGCTTCAATCATGGATCACTATAAGCGGTGCTCGACTTCACAGCAGTCAACAACAACATAGACAAAATTTTGTTAAATTTTTAATGTTTTGTTTTTAAATAAAAAGAGCTTTTGTAGGAAAAATAGTATTTACTGGCAGCAGATTTTAGTATGTGCTGCTCTTAGGTGTGACCTTATCCATAGCAGACCATGGACCTTTGTGTTTGAAAATGAAACCAGTTTGTTTCTTCTTTTGTTTCTTTATTAAACAATTACATCTCCCTCCCCAAAAACACACACACAAGAGCATGTATAAATATGAAAGTTTTATTTTCTTGCCATAATTTTTGTACAGAGCAAATTGATTTCCAGTCATTCATACAGATTTTGCTTTATGACATTAATTATAAATCCTCTTCCTTGTAGCATTTGTTGTTATGTACCATCAAGTTAGAACGGAATAACCAGCGGATTTTCAGAAACAGTTAAGTGCACAGGAGGAGATTACTCACCTTTCTCTTATGGAGTAGCTGGCAGATTTGAACAAAGAAAGTACAACCAGAGTTGTCCTTGGAGGCAAAGAAAACAAGCAGACCAGACCTCATCTCATACTTTAGACATGTTGCTAGGCAGGGCTGTTATTCCTTGGAAAGAGACATCATACTTGGAGAGAGTCAGCAAAGAAAAGGAAGACCTCGAACAAGATGGATTGACACGACTACAGTAGTGGGCTCCATTAGACCAACACAGTGAATATTTTTCACTGTTAGTCTCTCACTCTGTCTGGGATTCTTCATGATGATCCCTTTGAGACAAGTCAGCAATAGTAGCCAGACACTATCTAGTTCTTCTGGTCTCAGGGTAATGGAGAGTGAAGTTTTATAGTCTGTTAGCCCTTTGGAGCTGTTACTTCTGTTTACCTTTGCTTTTCTTGATTTTTCTTTCTTCTGAAACTTTGAACCATCTATTTTTTGTTTTGTAAGTACAAAAATTACATAGGTTTTTAGGTTCTAATTCAAAATGAGTTTTTATTTTGGTTCTTATCTAACATTCATAATGTTCTAATTATTGAACAAAGCTTAAAATGTCTGTCCTGATGACACAGAGGATTAAGCATTGACCAAATGACTGAAAAGTTGGTAATTTACATTTACTCTCTGTAATGTATTTGGTTTCCCTGATTTGGCTGGTTTTGTTTTAGTTTTTAAATACTACCAGGTATGGAGAATACATGATAACACTCTAGCCGAGGGTTTTAATTAAGTGTATAAGAGGGAACATGGACAAGTTAACATAATATTAAGTAATTTTGATCCATATTGAGGAAATTGAGGCAAAGATGGCTTTCCAGAAAACATTTAGTGTAGATAATAGAGAAGTCAATCTTGACTAGGTAAATAGCCTAGAAAAAATATTTACTCTAAGGGCTAACAAAGAAAACATTTCTAGGCCAGAGATAAAGTGAACATAGTTCACTATAGGAGCTGCTTTTCTGTAGAGGGAGGAGGAAATGTAAAATACTGGGGCAGTGGATTATAAACAAGAAAGTAGTTTTCAGATTGACAGATGTAGAAAATCATTCTTCATGTCAAGAGGAAAATGGATTGTGGCTCAGGACTTGGAGACTTTTTCAGCAAAACAGATGAGTATTGTTGAAGAGGGCCTAAATTAAATGAAAAGCAATAAAATAAAGAAAAATGAGCAAATTAGCTAAAAAATCGAATTAAAGTACATGGTGAGTGAATGAGGGGGAAAGAAAAATAAGATCACATTTTTTTTATTAGTATGCATGGGCAAAGAGTGTGTTGTAAGGACAGGTATAAATTATAAGCGGAGTTTTAGCCATGTTGCTTTGTAACATTCTTAATAAGTGAAAAAAAAATCTCACATTTAACAGAGGGGTGGAATGGCTATGAATTTGGAAGTCATCAGATAACAACTGAAGCCTTAGAAATTATTAAGATTAGTGTAAGATTGGAAATGTCCAGCTCTGGAGAAAACCAATTAAGGGGTAGGCAAAGGAAGATTTCTACGTGAAAACTTAAGGAAGAGTTCTAAAGAAAGAAGAGGAAAATTGGGAATTCAAGAGAAGAGAACTCTTCCTAACATAAGGCATGTTAGCACATTAAGAGCACATAAAGTTGTAGTGTCCTGTAGATTAGCAACAAACATAAAATTAAGATATTTAAGGACCTTTCAATAAAGAGACTCTTATTACAATTACATTAGTTCTTTTCCCTCTGAGTTAGCATCAAAAGGAAGATAAATGTGCCTCTTAACTATTTCATTTGGCAAAATGGAATCTTTTTAATGCTATCAGTTTCCAGTCAGTAGACTCTTGAAATTGCTAAGTGATCCTTAAGGACTAGGAAACACACACATAAGCTATATAGGTTGGATGACTGTCACTGTTTTTTATGTAGATGTGGCTATGATCACTAGAGCTTCAAAATTATCATTTTTGTTGTTGTTGATTGCCTTTGAGTTGGGCATGACTAATAGTGAACAGAAGGCCTGAAGACCCTCTACAACTGTCAGCGTTCATAGAGTTTCCGGAGGCATGTTGTTTGGGAAATAGATGTTGTTATTGTTATGTACTGTTGAGTCTCCTAGATGAATGCTCTATTATCTGGTTAAATCTAGTAGATTTAACATACGAAGAATTTCTATTTGATTTCACTGTTGCAGATCGGGCAGTTGTTAACAACTATTACATGTGAAGTAGTTATGAACCAGATGTAGTAATCATTAGGGTCTCCAAAAGAATTGACAGTTACAGTTCACAGAAAAGCAACTGTAGGATCAATGTATTCTTCTGTATCTACTGATAAACATTTTATGCATATGCAGCTTTTAATAGAAAGATACATTATTACATAAAGACAGATAAAAATAGGTAATCAAAAAGAAAATAAAAGAATTTCTTCAGTATTCTAGGTGACATATAAAACAATTCTGTCTTGCTCAATTGTGCCATATTTTCATTCAGGGTAGATTTTTTATTTTTGTGAGGATTTTTTCATGTCACAAGATCCAAAGTTAAAACTTTATCTGTTGACTGTATAAAAGGAAAGGAAAACCTGGAATATTGCAGATGCCCCTTTTCCTCATGATCCATGTGGTCAATAGATGGCTGTATTCACTTTATGATTATTCACTGAGATGTGCGCTTGTTGTTTTTGAATCAAACCTTGAGGGTTTTATTTTTATTTTAAGAAAATGATAGGAGAGTCTTTATAATTCTAAAGTATTTGGATTGACTGTATTAAGGCAAGATCTTTCATTTATGCCTGTGCCAAGTGACAGTAGAATTATACCATAATTCCTCCCACCCCTTCCAGTGTGGTATGTGGTGGTGGAGAAACAATGTTACTAGATGATTTTTCACTGCCTAGTTATAACTTGTGGTTGCCTATTAACCTGTGGAGAGATTGCAGATAGACAAGCAGTTATTCATGCTATTTATTGTGTATGTTTTTTAACTGTCTTATTGCTATTGGGTTAGTCCTGGCTCCTAGCACCCCTTCATTGGTTTTCCAGAGCTCTAGACATTTGTGTGAGGAGACTGCCTATCTTTCTCCCATGAAATCTTTTGTAGATTGAAAATTCCAACCATTTGGTTAGCAGCCTGAAACGTTCTCCAGTACACACTGAAAATCATGTTTGTTTGTTTTTAAATCGTGTAATTACTTTGAATTACAGAAAACCCTAGCTGGAATACCTCACTTGATTCTGTTTTGCTATTCTTTATAATTTTATCTTCTGATACAACTGAGGTTCCATTCATTTTCAAGGGATCCATTCCAGACTGTTATTTGTTGATATAGATGGGTGGACATCCACTAGGTGATTGAGAACCACTACATTATGCCATGTAACAAAATTCTCAGTTGTCAGCTGAACTTTACTGTCTCCAGTTTAAAAAGATCCCCTTCTATAGAAGGAGAAGTGGGTATCAGAAATGAGAAATATCTAGTGTGAAAAACAATGTATACAAGCTTTGTAAGCAAACCGGTATAAAATAAAAATTTATTTTTGAAAAAATAAAGATACTCTTCTGAACTCTCATCTGTACATATGATTGTAGATCTTTTGCAACTTTGTACTTCCTTTAATCTTCAACTAGATAGAAACTTCTCTAGTGAGGAGGACAACAAACTTATGTAAAGGGACAGACAATATATATTTTAAACTTTATGAACCATAAATATTTCATGCTTTCAAGACCATATGGTCTCCATCAGAATTACTCAGCTGTGTCCTGGTAGGTAGCACAAGAGCAGCCATAAATAATACATAAATGAATGGGCATAATGTATTTCAGTAAAAATTTATCCATGGGCACAGGAAGTTATATTTCATGTTCTAGCATGTCAAGAAATGCTAGTCTTAGAAAACTATTGGACGTAGTTGACCAATTCAGCAAAGTAGCAG